GCGAATCGGGTCTTATCGTTGATCCATTCCTCATTGATATCATCATTGAGCCGGGGTAGAACTCGCATAACCTCGAGGCCTCGCGAATCAACACGAATAGCAGAACCTAGGGCATCGTGTACATCGATCGACTCAGTCTTCTTCAATTCCCAGGGGCGGGCTCGGAAGGCATAGGGCTTGGATGTAAGAGCGCCGACGGGGCAAAGGTCGATTACATTACCGGACATCTCCGAATCTAGGTTCTTTTCTAAGTATGTACCGATCTGAATGTCATTTCCTCGTCCGAAAGAGCCCATCTCGGGGGCACCAGCTATATCGTTCGCGAATCGAATACACCTCGTGCAGTGAATACATCGGTTCATAGAGGTTTTGATTAGAGGACCTATATTCTTATCCTCCACCGCTCGCTTGCCACCGATCTCGTGGAATCGGCCCCTATCGGCTCCGTATCGCATGGACTGGTCCTGAAGATCACATTCACCACCCTGATCGCAGATAGGGCAGTCTAACGGGTGATTCGCTAGGAGGAATTCCATTACACCCTCGCGGGCTTTGTGTGTAAGAGGTGAGTTCGTCTTTACAACCATCCCGGGTTGTACCGGCCAGGCGCAAGAAGCAACAGGCTTTGGTGCACGTTCGACTTCGACCAAGCACATACGACAATTTCCCGCGATCATTAACTTCCTAACTCATGTTGTTAGCAACGCGGGCGGTGGTGGTGGGGATGGTCGAAGTCGACAGGGTAGCGATCGTACTCGTGATAACAATATCTATATAAAATTGTTAGCGGTAAACTTGTTAGAATTATTCAAACATCTCATATAAACTGACCTAGGGACTGTGACACCCGCCTTCTCGCAGGCCTGAATTAAAGCTGATCCAGCTGCGGGCTTAATTAGTAAGAGGCTTTATATAACCTCGGGAAGGCAATTTATAGATTTATACCTTCGATAGACACCTTCTTTCCATCTAATAACAACGTCAGTAACTATTCCAAGCGCTCCGATTGTAGATATAGTGTAAATGCTCACCAATGGTAAGCTCCACCTCTGCCGGCCGTCGAGCCGTCGCTGAAAATGCTCTGGAAGATTTGGCGACATGGCTGCCAGTCCGCCAAGCCGAACGAGCCAGAGATTGTCGAAGCATCGTGTCGTCTCGACGGAATCAAGGGACGTAAGGGAGGGGAGAAAAAGTAGGACGAGGTGGTTCGTAAGGTGGACAATTAGAAGAAAAAGTCAGTCCCTTCAAAAACGTTGACGTCTCTTTTGAGAATTGCTTGTCGGGAATTATTGGATGCTTCTTTCGAAAGTGGCGCTAATGCCCATTACGATTATTTCGGACTTGCTTTGATTGGCCACAGCTAGGAAAACTTGGGAGCCTGACTTCCGAGGCGCAAAATGAGGTACTTAGGTACATATTACGTCTTTAGATACCTGTTACGTAAGTAACGCCAAGCCCCAAGCTTGGTATCATTTTTAAAGTCGAAATTTCTGCAACCGCTTCAAACCTTTTTTCTTTTCTTTTTCTCATCAATTGTACATGAGCACATTTTATTGTAGGTGAGCTTGGGTAAGCTCCTGGTTCTCCAGGTTACTTGCTATAGTCGAGTCTTCCTCTATCTTGTGCTCTAGAGCAATCTTGTACGCCGATTATGGAAGCACTTGAGAGTTGCTAAATCTCGAAGATTGTTGCCTCTTACCGCCGGTCGTTACATTTACACGTTAGGTTGTAGGGTTTTTTTTTTTTTTTCCTGTCATTTTTTCAAAAAAGGCTAGAAGGAAAGAAAAAGCAATGGTATCAGTTAATCAATAGTACTTATCTATTAATATGTCCTACGTGAATTCTAGGCACCAGTGCTTATCTCAGTGAACTCAGACCTCATCAGCCTCAAAATGGCTACGCCACCGGGCCACCGGACCGCAGGTCCGTATGTTTGTACCTGTGAGGCACGAAATTATTTTTGGCTGAATGAGGTCTGAGAACCATATGAAAAAAAGGGGGTCTCGCATGTACACTCTTACTACTATATTGACGATGCATCAAATAGTCAACAACAACATCGAAAATAACCTCTATTTTATTACTCGGGGCTAGATAAATGGCTTCCGAACCTCTACATCTTTTTTTCCAATTAAATACAACGTTACATTATTATATTGTAAGCTTCAACGTAAAAACCGTGGAAAACACACGTTCACATCCTCATCAAAAAGCCTTATATAATCAAACGTGCATTCCCACAACAACGCCCGAAAACCATCAATATTTTATTATTATAAAATAAAAAAATGGCCTACTATTATCCCTAGCCTTTTTCAGGTTTTATAGGGCCTTGCGTTGTTGAATAATAGGTCTCGAAAGATTGTAGTTTTTCGCTGAAAGTGCGGCTTTTTCGCCAAAAGTGCGGCTATTTTGAGGCGCGACCGTAACCGCCGCTATTTCAACGCAAAAAAAAAAAATTACCGCGCAACATTCTTTTCAAACCTGCAACTACATTAGCAACTGTTCTAATACGTCATTTACTTACTACAATATCTTATTTGATGAATTCAATTGACTTAATTAATTTTGATTGTTTTCTAGTGAGAAAGAGACCAATTTCGTGCATTTAGTTCTCAAACCACATTTGCGTTCGATGTTTTTTTTTTTTTTTTTTTTTTTTTTTTGGAGATGTCTGATTGGTCAAAAACGCCTGTGGCAAGTGAGGTACAAAAAAACGAACGCAAAATGTGGTCTGAGCTCACTGAGATAAGGTTTTACCGGACCAATTGTGTTTTGGGGTGTAGTCCTAAAACACCCTTGCTACGTACTAATAAGGGGTTCCGAGCTAACATTATTTCAGGGGGTAAAGTGTACGTTTTCCAATAATTTACCTTTTCCAATGTTAACTTCCTATAACATCTAATATTTGAAGCAGCATACTTTTGCCCGGAGTATCAGCTAACGAAAATGCCTAGATCGAGCTATGTTACGAGTAGCAGCAGTGGCGATGCCTTCTATCAGCTTGCACGTGTAGCTGATACTTTACACAATTATTCGCTAGAGAGGGTCGACCTTCTAGAAGCATATATTGACCACGAGCTCGAAGAGCGATCTACCGACTTCAAAAATGCCCTGGAGAAAGTTAACACTACTATCCAGTCGCTTCAAGAGAATGCCAACCATGCTAATGGACGCTGGCAAAACGACGACAGAATGATTACCTGTCTTAATCTCCTCCAAGCTCAAACTCGGACCCTCTATGAGAACCAGAACGGATTTTGGGCTGTATTCAAAGATCTTAAATGCAAAATCGCAGGGATCAGAAGCGGCCAATGTGGTCTTCGCGATGTTCTTCGTATGATGCGTGCAGACGCTCAGGTCTTGCGTCAGCCCACCGACACTTTTGGATTTCCCCAGTTCAAGAGGCTCCCACCAGAAATCCGAACCATGATATGGGACCTGGTTATCCCTAGCCGAATACTTGGTCTTAGGGGGAACCCCCTACATGGTGGCTATATCGATTACACTATGTATAATTTCGATCCGCGCTTATCTCCTCCTTCAGTTGCTCATGTTTGTCGGGAGGCCCGGTCAATAGCTTGCCGTACCGGTAGGCTCGTGTGCATTAGGAACTCTAGGGAATGTCCATACCCGAGTTTGATGGACGAGGAACATGTAGCTAGACCCGAGTGGTCCTGGTACGACCCAAGCCGGGATTCTCTTCGCCTGCATGTCGAAATTCTAATGGGTTCACCAAATACCACTATACTGGAGATTACAGAGTGTACCCAGTTTGTCATAAGTGGCGTTGACTCGAATCATACACACTGTTACCGACTTCTGGAATACCTCTCTAACCCGTATTACTTTCCGCGATTGAAAGTGGTTGACTTTATATCTGACATTTACCAGCACCCGCAGTTTAGCGACCACGTCCTTGAAACACGGCTCTTCGGTCTAGATCGGCAGGACTCCCTCTCCCTTGATATTGATGACAAGGCTGCTAAAAAGGCTCTAATCTATCGAATTAAAAAAGACAACACTTCCGTGGAAGCTAAGGATCTAGTAAGCTGGCTATATGAGGATAACGAGGACTACTGGAGTGACCTGAGCCGCACCGCTAGTGTTCGCAATTTGAAGTGGCCTCATTTCTTGGATTACTTGAAGAAGGAATGGATTCTTTTTGCCAGTACATGGCTGGATTTCTCTGATGACGAAGGTTATGGTACTAAACGAGTTAAAAAATCTAGCCAAGAAAGCAACGAGCTATCAAAATATGAAGAAGCATTCTTGTTGCAGAGTCTTCCCGCATTCCGACGAGTAAAACTAATTGAGCGATTAACTGCTGATGATTAGTTTTCGTCGGAGGTGTGGTCAGAATAGAAATGCTCGAGAGCGTAGCTGGACAGGTAGTTGGCAAGCCGTGGTGGTTTTGATAGTACCTGCCTAGGGGCGATGATGTCTGGTTTTGATTCTCATAGTTACCCGGCCTGGCCTTTCTTTATGTTGGTGGCACGTTGGCGGATATCGGCTGTAGTAACAGCATCACCACAGGACTACACTCACTCACTGAATACTGGATGAATAGGTAGTTCGAGTAGTTTAAGAAGGAAAAATAAATGGCACCTTAAGATCCTATAACCTTCGTGACATAAGACGACACGATTGGCCCCTAAAGGACACCAGGCCCATGGGATGTTAGGTATTTGGATTGGCGCAGACAAGTAACCTGTTTGATATCAGGCATGACTTACATATTTCCAAGCCTGTTTCAATAGTAGACGTTCCTGAGGCCGCTTTTCACACCTTCTCACCATCAAGAAAATTCAGTCAAACTTGGAGAAATCGACGGGAGTTACCTCTAATTTTAAGAAGGATGGGGTTGGCTGTCTGTAAGCTTTGCCAACAACCTCTTTGCATTGGATGATGGCCAATGAATATAAGACCTAATAATGGGCCAAAATCACACCGCCTAGAGTTATTCAGTCTGGCAAAATCTTGAGTCTACTCCAAGATTTGGTTTGGTGGTCTAGTGGTATGATTCTCGCTTAGGGTCCACCCTATGAATATTATGCGAGAGGTCCCGGGTTCAATCCCCGGCCAAACCCTTCACTTTTGCCAATTACATTTAGTTATCTCTGCTGCTTAAACAGTAGGTATTGATTTGGCCTTGGTTTTTTTTTTTTTGCTCATATATTGAGCTCAGTCTTTCTTAAGTAGATTTGCTGAGGAAATCCCGCGTATCGACTGAGACCTATTTTCCTTTTTATCTGGGTTGTGTACCCAAAATGGTATTTCGTGATCCGAGATCCTCAAACTGACTTTGTTACGGAAATTGCATGCTTCGAGGTCCGCCACCTTGTTGCGAAACGTACCTATGTATTCTTCGAACTTCCAAGCCAGATCTTACGAAATATTTCTCTTTTCTTGGGTGACGGTCTATGTTCCCATGTACCAAGTCCAGGTTGATTGATTTATTTATTTATTTATTGATGTTGTATTTCCCCAATCCATTTCTCATGTAATCAATCAATGCATCGTGGCACACGACCTTAACGATATTGTTGTTATCTCCGCATAAGCTGCCCGAATGCGATAAAAATTTATTACAAGGGTTTACCGACTATAGTGACACTCTCATTTCGGTATCAATCGATGCGTGGCAGCCCAAGTGGGACTTGTTGAAGCTTAAGATTGACCAGGATCCGGTTCACCCGGAAGAATGCATGCAACAAGACCGTAGTTGTTTAGTTGTTTAGATAAAAAAGCAAGAAGCTGGGGTAAACATGGAAAGTTTATTATCTCTGCTTGTGACATATGCAGCTAAATAGATAAGATAGATACATACTAACACCTAGGTAGGTACTACACACCTACATTCATATGTAAGGTACTGGCTGTTATACTACATGTAACCTATTATAGCAAGTACGATACTCGCACCAATATATTCCAAATTACCTAACATCACCCATCACCTCTACACAACATAAGACCATTTATTAATAATAATTCCTTCTTCCTACATCAACTTAATACTAGCCTAGGCGACTATTGGAAAATTGAATAAGCATTCCAAGCCAAGGAGAAAAAAAGCCCAGGCTAGCTCCTGCAGCCTAACGCTAACGAATGTTTTTTTTCTTCCTTTTTGATCCCGGCACCCCTGAATAATGTCACCAGTGCTATATCCCGATGCATCATAGCGTGTCCCGTCGGCGGCCGCATTAAGGGGGCCTTCTCTTGTTACATGCTGACTTATAAAAAGGAAGCATGAACCCTTCGCGGGTTGCGATGATCCTCTTTTTGGTCTTGCCCACGCGAGTCAACAGACGACGATCAATAGATACGCGAGTCATTCGTTCATTAAAATCGCGATACGCTCATTTTTTATTATAATAATAAACAAGGTCGATTAGTCGCACGCTCTTTTTATTAATTTGCTTTTTTGGCTACGACCGATAATCACCCTATACGTACAAATTATACTTACAATATGTATACTAATAACGCAATTGTCATCGCGGCCCTTGCCGCTTGCGCTTCCGCTCAAATACCGAACCTCGTACCACGCCAGACTTTCGGAAGCCCCGACTCGGAAGAGACTGGTTCCTCACCCGAGTGTATCTCTCGTGTCCAATCTTGGTCTGGCGCCTTTCCCACCCCGGCCCCGGAGCTAGAAAGCGCGATGGAGAGTGTCACCGAGGATGGCGGCATGGCTGAGTCGGGCCTGTCAGGTTTATGTCAGTATGGCACCGTTCTTGGCGAGAAGCAAGCCTCTGCCTACACTTCTTACTGCCTCGATATGTACTCGTATCTATCTTCGCAGTCGTCCAACCTGCTCGCCCTGGCCACCAGCTGTTCTAACGACATGGGTGCGCCCCCGGAGGTTATCACCAGCCAACTTGGTGAACTCCTCGGAGTATACTCCCAGTTCTCAGCGGGTGGCTGCAAAAGCGTTTCCGCAACAACTACGGCGGACTCCTCTAGCGCGAAGACTACTTCCTCCTCTGGCGGCTCTGCTACCGCGACGAATTCCAGCGGTTTCGCTACGACTACCGCATCCACCACCGAGGGCGGCTCCGCATCTTCGGCCGCGGCTGCCGCCACGAGTAGCTCGGCTACGTCCTCGACACCATCTGGCAATGCCGGCCCGCGGGAAACCGGAATGCTCGCCGCGGCTGCCCTTGCCGCCGGTTTCATCGGCGCTGCTGTAGCCCTGTAGAAAAGCTAATATGACGAAAGAAAAAAAAGAAAGAAAAGTTTATATAGCGTCTTACGCCACCCTGTAGGATCTCTACTTCTCTGGACGTGTTTTGTGCGGTTTTAGCGCTTTTGGATAACCTCTTTTCACCATCATACCCCCACCATCTGCTTCGTGTATTAAGAAAGCGTATAGTCAGTCAGTCCCCCCTAGCTGATCCGGCCTTTTGAGGCAATGAGCTCGATAGGCTATCGTAGAATCAATATAAATTACAGTATACCCCAAGCGTATGTTTGTCTCTGTTTCGTGTCATGTGCTTGATATGTTTTGATGAGGATAATAACTACCAGACGTTGTTGTTGCCTTGTAGTTGTCAATTATCTTGTTTGCGTACCTATATTTCCTGCTATAAGGTTTAATATTTAATGTTTCATCAAATAGAATGAGTCTTAGAATGTCACGTTCACTATACTCTATCCATTCTCTTTCTTGCCAAAGCTTAGGTCCGCCCTTCGAAGAATAGTTCACTCTCTTTTGTTCCTACTTCCACTCTTACCCCGAAGTTCGCATACAACTTTAATCGGGAAAGTAAGGTAAACGGACGCTCGACTATTGGATTGACGGTAATGTGGGCGTTCGATTCCCGATCGCGGTGCATCATCCACCAACTGAGCTGCATGTCTTGCAGTAGTTATGTTGATCTTTTCAGATCATCTAACTATCTAGGTAGGTACAAAAGGTATAGGTGGAGTTTGGGTCCACATGAGCCCAGCGTTCTGGAGATCAAGAAAGCTTTTACGATCGGGCTACACTAGAGAGTTGTGTCCGGGTTGTGCGCGCGCACGCGGCTCCCGATGCCCATCTGCAAACCCGCAAGTAAACCCGTCCGAGCGCCGCCGATCCGTCCACAAATTTAACTTGAACAAGGTCTCCGACGATCCTAAGGCCTAGTCTTCCTTTCGTACTCTTATGGAATTATTGGTGTTGATCGTCGGTAAGGTAGTTTAGGGGTCCCCGGCCGGTCCGGAGGCTATATAACCCTAATCTGTATGTCTACCTTGTGAAAGCGATGCCCTCGGCTTCGGTGCGCTGAAGTAGACTCTGAAGTTCGGGAGACGTATCTGGGATTCGACGGTATAAAGCCTATGGAAGAAAAGCGGTCCTCGGACTGAACGGTTTCCCTCCATTCATTTCATATGCTCCCTATCCCATTCAGTTCCTCCGCTCTTTCTGCCCCCAGACATAACAAGCTAAACGAGATACGTATAGCGTCGACTGATTTTAAGTAGAACTAGGCTGGATGGACTTCATTACTTGAGGCCCTCCGAGTCGCTCGCACTTGAAAGCAGACAGTGACCCAATCCAACCAGGGCAGCAGTAAACAATTCCCACTGGGTATTACATCTGAGGAACCTTTATCGCATTATCATTCCACGAGTGAGCCTAGCGACATTTATTCATCCATTCATCCATTCATTTATTTGGCTGCTATATAAAACTGCGTCTAACTCATTGGACGACAAATTGTTGCTTGTGCGACTTATGCAAAACTGACGTATCCAAAACTTCGCCTGTAGAAGACCTGATGAAGTCGACCTGAAGGTCGTTAGCACTCAAGAAGTTCACCTTAGCATAGCTGAAATCATCAGCGTACGCAAAAGAGTTAAACGAGACGTTGCTTCCCACTGCGCTGAGACCCTCGATATTCCCCGCGCCGCCCGCCACGATATACATGGGTGCAGCGGGATCATTCATTCCCTTGGGGTCTGCGGTGTCTTTGTAGGCCGGCTGGAAACGCTGGGAGTTGTGGACGTGCCCGAATATAGCCAAGTCTACGCCGTACTTGTAAAACAACGGCTCAAAGGCCTCTTGGCATGGCTTGCAGCCCTTGCCGCCGGTAGTGTACCACGGCCGATGACCTCCGACAAGGAGCCAAGGGGTTACCGTGCGGTCCACAGATGCGAGATCCGCCTCGAGAAATTGGAGTTGTTGGTCGGGGGCACCGAAGGGACCGCTGTTGAGGCCTGCGGAGCCCCCCTTTCCGTCCGGCGCGTCGTCAAAATCTGTCTCCGTGTTGATCATGACGAAATGAAGCATGCCGTACTCGAACGAATACCAGAACGGGGGATTTGACAACAGCTGTGCCTTGTTGGCGTTGACCTTGGCAGCCTCGGCGGCCGAGGTTGACGGGAAAGCGGTTGACATGGTATCGCCGAACCGATTCATGAAGTCGGTGAAGTTCTTCTGTCCCGCAGGGCATAATCCCGTCGTGAAGGGAATCTCCTGACAGGCGGCTTCGTGATTCCCGGGGCTAGCCATGTAGGCTTTGCGGCCGGAGATGGGGGAAAGTTGGTCGTAGAATTGTTCAAGGATAGCCTGGAAGGCGTCTTCGCCATCAAAAAGATTCTTAGGCCTTAAAATCCAGTCATCAGCATATGCGAAATCTCCGGGATGTACGATAAATTCATAGTCATCAACTGTGTTAGCCAGCTGGTTAATAGTCGTATGGTTCAACGACGGGTCAATATGCGGAATTGTATCCCTTTTGGTCTCGTCCATTTCAATGGTATATCCATCGGCGCCATAAACACCCAGGTCGATCACGGCGTTCATAGCAAAAGGGGTTGTGTCGCCGGCTATCCGCGGGCTAAAGAAATGCTCAACACTGGAGTTCGTCGATTCTATCTTATAATAATATGTAGTGGCGGGCGATAGCCCTGTGAGAATCACCACGTTGGCATGAGTGCGGGAACTCGGATAAGTGACCGAGTTAGTAGAGCAGGCCTGAGAAGTGAGCGCGTCGCTAGATGTGCCATATTGGACGCAAGGCTTGTCTAGCTTCTGGTATGTGTTCCAACCCACGGAGATGGCTAGAAAATATAGTATTAATTAGTAGAACGCGAAGGG